CGTGTTGAGCACACGTAAAAAAATTGAGACGAGATGTAGTCAATCTAAATAAAGAGGAGAAAATAATTAAGTGATACATCACGCAACCAAAAGCTCACGCGACAAACACAAGGAACCGAATATTATTTTCTTTTTCCGAGCACGAAATTGTTTCGCAGATTCATGGAATTATCGAATTATTTTAAGTTGTCGGGTTGGCCCAGTCCGCAAATCAAGATCGAAAGTGTGAGAAAACACCAGCCTCAACTTATCTTCTGTCGAGATGTTGAGCTATTTATAATTGAGTGAATCATTTAGGGTCTAAATATTTCTTTTACTTTAACACGTGTTAAGTCGATTTTAGTGATAAAATAACACTAGAACCTTTTCTGACTATTCCTACATTTACCACTATTTCGTAAATTATCACCGAAAATTGGTACTAATGGATGTATTTAACACCAAACGTAAATATTTCCGTTGGAAATACCACCAATATCGGTATCAAATATGCCGATTTGCCACTAACACAGATTTTCGTACTATTGTAAATACGTTCTTACTTTGGAGTTAGCCACAGTACGAAAAAAGTTATCACGAAAAAGAATATTCTAATGTAATTTCTGTTGAGTTATCCCATAATTTCGTGTTATAGTTGTACCCACTATTTACTAGTATTAGGAATATCACCAGTTCTGGTTATATGTGTTGCCAATATATATTATTAGTTGCAATTTCGATAATAATTCTCAGTGATTAATTTTATTTAGTTCACACTTCAATTTTTTTGTTCAGTCAATATGAACTCACATGTTTCCGAAAGACATTGTTGGATCAAAGATAATCAAATTAAAAAAAATTAAACAACAATTTTTCTATCTCTGGAGCCTGCATTCTTATTGATACTGATCCAAAATTGATATTTTTCCAATTTATAAGATTTTTTCGTGGATTAGTTTCTTAGGCTTGAAAATAACTCGAAATTTCCCGAATTTTCTTCAAAACTTCCAAAAGGTTTGAGAAGTTAGATTTTTAACCTGGACAAATTTTGAACGCATTGAATGATAATTTTGAGAAAAATAAATGAAACTTCTAGCAGACTTAGAACTTAGACTTCAAACCTGAATAATAATTTCAAGCCGTTTTTCAAACAATATCAATTTTCAGAACAAATAAATGAAAGTACAGATAAACCTTAGCACTAGCAATCTGTGCCATTTTTCATCAGGCGTCTCCACTCGCATTGAGTTTGTATTGTGAATGTTAAGGTGCGTGCAACGCCCTTCAATGTAAAAAACAATTCAAGTGGAGATGATACACGAGATTTATCTGTACTTTTTAATTTGGCTTAGAATTATTATTCAGGTTTGAAGTCTAAGTTTTAAGTCTGATAGAAGTTTCATTTATTTTTCACAAACTAATCATTCAATGCGTTCAAAATTTGTCCAAGTTAAAAATCTAACTCCCAAAACCTTCCAGAAGTTTTGAATAGAAATGAATTAGGCTTGGAAAAAATCAAAATTTTAGTTCTTAATTTGATCTTGTTTTAAAAATAATTCCAAAATATGCAAGAAATTTTTTGTAGATATAAATAGCTGAAAGCATTTCAAACAAGTAAACAATGTTATTAAACAATAAAATATAATTGGAATTTGTAATAATCTATGTTAAAACAGAATTTGACGTCATTTTTTCCGTTTTAACACGAAATTCCACCATTAGCACCAAAATACGGAGATAACACGTATTAAATGCATAGACATATTTACATTTCCAGTGTTAAACTAGTACCGAAGTTATCACAAAAATCGACTTAACACGTGTTAAAGTAAAAGAAATATTTAGACCCTTAGTGATCGAATTCTGTTCTACATTTTTTTCATAATAAATGATCAACCATGTGCAAATATTTTGTGCGCCAGCTGAAGAACGCTTTTTTGATATACGTAGCAGCCAATTATCGTATATTATGGGCTTATGCACATTTTCACGCAAAATTAAGTAAGAAATTTCTGTAAAATACAAATTAAATATTATCGTTTAGTAGCCTGCTTAAGATTATATTCGTGTGATCGCCGCTACTTAAAATTAAACGAAAAATGTGTATGGCGTGTGAGTGTGTGTTTAAAATAATATCATAAATCGATTTCGCGTTTGAGAGAATGAAGAAAAAAAGAACGGCTGCATACAAGTCACATAGCCACCGCGTCACAAATTGGAATGGAGAGACGAGGTTTTTCATTCTTGTAGCTCAGTCAGCTCATTAAAATTCGCTTTTTGATAGGAGAAAAACCAGTTTTGCGAGCTCACTCTCACGCATCGAACATGTCGAATTGATCATTCTGCTGAGTTTTAAGTATATGTAGATTGACTTTCGTGCAAAGCCTCCATCGAATTGTGGTTGTGTGCGAGCAACTGCTGAGGTTCGCTGTGTGTTTTTCTCTCTCTCATTCGCTCTTTCTCTTCCTCTCCCTCTCCCTCAATATCGATGTCTTGAGGCTAAGTTCTTGTTTGTTGTTTTAACATTTTGTGCAATCAAAACGCTTGAGAAGGATCAAAGTCCATGCGATTATTTTGCTCATTTGACTGCATGCAAGCTTCGATCACATTCACATTCTTCGCGAATATCAACATGCGATTTGGTTACAATGCAGCACATTGATGGTCATGTGAGTGCCGTGCGGCAATAAAAATGCACTGTAAAAGTAATCATAAATCAGCTATATATGCTAATGACTAGGGGCATAGCACACTCAAAAATGTAGAAGAATTTCATACATTTTTCTCATTGCCATTCAAATTGAATAAAATCTAAGGAATTGAAAAAAATTAACAAAAATTGACACATCTAATGTGAACTAGAATGTGAACCAATTGTAACTCAATGTAGTCCATTCTACTACATTTTTGACAATTCCTTTCAATTTCATAAATTTGGCGCTGTTCAATGTGGTGTCATTTTTATAGCACTTTGAACTGCATTATCGACGCTGTTGAACGATACGTATACTAGTATACTAATAATATTTGCTTTTTCTTCACAAAATTTCTTTCAAAATGAATTTCACAATTATTGTACACTCAAGTGAATGCCTAGATTTCGCTATCTGTCAAAAAAAATGCATAAAGAGTATGACTTTTCGTTTGACTGTTAATTCTAGCAGATTACAGCAGATTATAACAAATCGGTAATGCAGGCAAATCATTATTGAAACTTCTAATGGAAATGAACCTTTATTTGCTCGAATTGAGAGAAATCTATTGAATTGAAGAAATTTAATTTAAATTTATTGAAACGACTTCAGTTTTTGAGTGTGCTATGCCCCTAGGCTAATGATTCTTTTACATCATTTTCTTTTCTTCGCTTCTCAATTCGATATATCAGATTATGCACCATTATTTTGCCCCTTTATTTGCTCATTTTTCTCCATGCATTTGCATCATGACATATTTTATGGTTTTGACGCAGCACACTTTGTATACAATATTGTAATCCATCATGATGTTCGCATGAAATCAAAGATTACCGATTAATACAAATATTTAGATGGCATAGAATAAGTGGCAACTATATTTAAATTATAGAAGCAAACATGGTAAGTATTTCGTGTTGTTTTTAATTCTATTGAAAGAAAAACATGCAGTTTTTTTCTCAATGAAAAGTCAAGTGATAGCAAATTGAGTCTTGACAATGCACAGTAGTAAACATTCGTGTTTAGGTTTAAATCACCTAAATTCCAATGCTAGGGGAATATCACGCTTAAATTATTTCAAATATTTCAAAAAAATCCAATTTATCTCTGAGAATCTGTCGTATGAAATATGGTGGATATTTGTGAATACGGCGGAATATTTTGGATTTTTGTGATTATGAATGATATTTAAATGTATTTATTTAGATTTAATGCAAAAAATCTCAAATATCTCCAAAATCCACAAAAATCTGATTTATTTATTCGAAATATTCGAAAATATGTCATGCAATTGATGTTTATTTCAAATATCTCAAATATCTCACAAGATTCAGGAGCGTGATATTCCCCTAGTTCCAATGAATCACAATTTTTCAGTGATAAAACTGATGATTCATGTGTGCACTCATCTTTTTTCGTCGTATTTCGTCAAGTCGGACACGAATTAAAGGAGATAAAGTATCACAAAATGTTGATGTTCCAGAGAGAAATTCAATTCAATTCCGTATAATGGAGAATGCGCCAGTTGTTGAGCAACGTTTCTCATTTCGTTTCATCTCAATATCTGTATTCCATCCAAGATTGATTCCATCATTCTCTGGCTGAAATGAGACACTGTGTTAATTTAACGATTTTTGTTTTCACTGAATGACGATTTTTTTTTTGTATTTTGGTTTCATTTTATTCAAGTTAAATGCCCGATTTCTTTGTTCAATTTTCGCATAATTTTTGTTACTTGATTCAATTGACAAAAATGTAATAGTGTCTATTTTCCATTTTCCATTTCGTTTCTTTTTTTTCCAATGTTTTGACATAGAAAAAGACAAAGTCTTAAGCGAAAATAACCAGAATTATGTTTTACTAAGAAATATTATGTCAATGAGTAGTAAAGTCATTCTGTTCATTGTTGCCAGTTTTCTGGTCGCAAAAGCGAAAAGAACGTCAATGTCTCATCATCATAACTTATAATTAGCAATAAAAACAATGGAAACTCTTGTCTCTAAACATAAAGCGAATTGTGCGACCATAAAAGAGACACACCATGCAAATGGCTGGCTCTTAGTAATAGTAGCAGTGATCTTGATGCATGTGTATGTGTTAATCGATCGTGTTCATATGTGAGAACGGAGGCAGATATTCTTGAACCAAGACTACATGAAATTTAGGTTAAATGATAAGGTTAAACATTCAATGTGTTTTTTGTTTCAAATTGAATCGCATTGTTGAGCAAGTGCGACCAGTCAATTCGATTCTCTTATGCTATTCATGCAATTCAATACTGCAATCTGCATGCATATTTTCCAAACGTATTGTTTTAAACGAAGCTACGGTGCGACAATCAGTCATTTAGATATTTAAATAACGGCGTTAGAATATACAATTTGTGGCTGCGCAAATGCACGTAATGTGCGCATAAATCGCAAATATTTTGATTTGAACGTGCGATGCAACGGTTTCTATCATTCTTTATGAATTTATTGAAAATTTCAATTGCGATAAAATAAATCTCAACAATTTAAGTGTGACTCAAATTTGAAGTGCTAAAATCAACATCGGTTGGTTTCTGTAAAACCAATAATTTCTAAAAGCAGCCCATAGTTTTTTTTTCCGCAAAGTCAAAAGTGTAGAGAATGATAAATATTCCGAATCTCAATGGAAAATACTGTAGACGAGACAGAAATAAATAAGAAGTATGACAAACAAGTTGATTCCATCGAACTCATGTTATCAAAAGTTTTATTGACATACGGTCAGTCCAAACAATACGAATTTATTGAATATCAATTCAAGTCTGTTACAAACAGTCATCGCAATTAATATCGTTCATTCCAATTCATATCATTTCTTCAAACAGTTTCTACAAAAATACGCTTATTCAAGCTTATTGCGGAGCAAATATTATTGGTTCCAATGGGGAGTGAGATTATGACTCCCGGGAGGCAACGTACAACACACTTTTTTAAACTGAATTGGTTCCTTTGATGCGATTCTTCGAGTTTCAGTCTAAAATTCACTCTAACCAATCCAAACTTACTTAAATAATGAAATTCGCGCCCTAACAATCCCATTACGCGTTGTTAAACCAAGTTAACTTTGTCTAAAAAACATAGGCAAGAAGTCATCACCATCAGCCCCCAAAAAAGCTGTCCAAGTCATTAAAATTATACAATGTTGCGTGTATACTTCCAGCGTTGTAAAAGTGAGTCGTTGGCAGTTTACATAGATTTTACAGTTTACTTAATTTGGGCCAAATATAAATAGTGTTATTCCCACTTGAGAAATGACTGTAATTGCTGTCATGACAGCAAATAATGAGACTAAGCGATTGCATCGCGGCGGAAATCGCAACGAAAAATAACAACCGAGCTGGCAATCAAATAAATGTATAATTTATATTGGCAGTTTTCGTGTGTTTAACTGGAAGTGATTGTTGAAATGTGTTTGGGTAAATATGAGAAAATGGTTGTTGTCACAACGAAAAACTGAAAATTGAATTGTGAGTGAAATACAATCTGAAATCAAAACACACCAATGTTCCAGGCAACTATTTGTCTATGGATGGCGTTGTCGAGTCATCATCATCATCGACGCATGTTGGATTTGCGTGCAAACATGCCGTTCGAAGCCGTGATTCATTAATTGAATTTCCACTTTGTCCAAACTTTCACAGCTGCTCCCCGGCCCTACTGAACCACTTCCAACGAGAAGTGCGAACTAACAACACAATCATATAATTAGAACCTGAATGTATGTAGTTCAAATGGTGTTAAAGTTTCTTCGCACATCAACACCACAAATTCGGTCACAACGCTTCGAGTTTCTCCGTAAACTAGTTTTTCGTATGGATGATGATCAGCCAGCGTTTAAATCATACAATAGAAATTCGTGTTTGCGGTTTTATAGATTGGAATACAATCAATTTGATTGATGCTCAATGACAGTGATCAAGAAGTCGAAATAATTAAAGACGTTAGGCACAGCCAGCCAGACAATCGAATCGGTAATATGCTAGACAGTTAGATACTTTGCCAAATGCCATTCAAATGGCGCGATTTTTTGTTGGTGTGCCACTCAATTGGATTACGATCACGTTAAAAAGGTAGATTTGTGAATGAACATCTCTTTTTCGCCGCCGTACGAGCTCTTCTAGGTATTTATCGATGTTCAGTGACGATCATACGATTCAATGAATATGAAATATCATGACTACGCTGCAAAAAAGTTATACTGCAAACAAACCGATATGCTTTCGTTCGAAGAGAGAAACAAAAATATGGACTCAGTTTTTTTGGACGGCTGTTTTCGTGTATACCGTGGTGTCACATTCACTGTACAGCATATTCGATGTGTTATTATCTTTAGCGGCTTTGCGGTCATTTGATCGTCTACGTGGAAAAGATACCGAAATGCTGTCATAAAACTTATTTACGATGTTATTCCATTGCAATTCTTATTATGTCTGGGTGGTTCACTTTTTTCGGGCTTTATAAACACATTTCGAAAGGAGAATGCAGCGACTAAATTACTGAATTATTAAATTTTTTTCATGAGATTTCTTTTGTCAATCGAAAATCGATTGATGGGATTAATGTAAAATAAATAATCCGCACTTACGGTTCATTGTCCCAAATTCCAGGCGGAATAAAGAAAGGCAACAGTTTAAATGTGACAAAACAGAGGAACGATTGAAGAACAAATTCGATCTGTGATTCAAACTGTGGGAAAATCTTGGAGAATCCTTAAAATGTTCGAACAATCAATTATGTTGCTTTCACATTTATTCGGTAGTCTCATTATCCATTCCACGTTGACCGTTTTCAGAAAAGATTTCAATGCATATGCGGGCGTCAAGTGAACTACCTCGTTTCATGTAAATGCCAAACCACAAAAACAAGTTTTAAGCGAGACCGAATATTAAATGATGTAGATCTTTTCACGCACGACGGAAGAAAGTCGAGATCTCTCACATACACACAGACCCACCAAATGGAAAAACTGAACTGCGTACAACCAAACAAATAAACAAAATTTCGAAATCTCTTTCAATCTCGCGCTCTGTGAATTCATTTTTCATTCCGAAGCGGCGAACGCGTATTTTGATGAAATCTGTGTATTGCACAATTTAGATCAAAGCTTGTTTACAGCACACTACTTAGGTCTAAGCCACAGAAGAAAAAAACAGATAAAATATTTTTTTGTATTGTGAACAAAGAATGAGCGTAGCAAATAGTTCTAATGAAAGAAAACAAAATACGAAATATTTCGGGCATTGCATTCATTCGACCATAAATGGCCCGTCGGAAATGGCTATTGTGTGAACTGCCTCTTATAAATATGAAGAATATAGCAAGAAGAAGTTGTCTGAATTACAATCCGAAACCAACATAGAATAATTGGTAGGGACGACTTTTTTGACCTGCTTGAGCTGCAGCGAGCAATTCGTTTGCCGTTTGAATGTGAACCGGAAAGATTCTTTTGTTCATTACAGTGCAGAAGTCCAAAAGTATTGCGCATAATTGGAAGTTGCATTTGTATGTTGTGACGCGACAAACGATGTACATTGGGGAATGTGTAAGGCATTTTCGTTGCGTAGTGCGTAGCATAGAATAGATGACAATAGAAAACGCGTACATTTTCGTGGTGCGTTCATCGACATCGACACGAGTGTATGATGCAATAGGCTGTAATGAATACGTAACAACGCACATAAAACCGTGTGCAGTGTAAATGGGTCCTTTTCTCGAAAATTCGGAGCGATTCAAGCGAGATGGCCGTAAAATGGCTTTCGTTTTTATCTTGTTCGACTCAGAATCGTCATTCTAGATATGCGCAGCTTATTTCGCATGGCTTCTCCGTCTGATTGAATTCTTTTTTCTTGCAATTTCTAGGCTGTGAGACAGTGAACAATATCAGCTGTTTATTATTTACATTACGGAATCGCGTTACCAATGGCAACGCCAACAAATATTCACGCGGACTGACACTCGACTGCGTTCTGTTTACTCACAAACGAACCGGAACATTTACGCTCTGGAATTATCGCATCGTAATTTCATTTTTATTTGCGCCTATTATTTTCTACTTTAGAAATAGCGCCGAAAAAATTGCTCGAAAATCCATTTACACCAGCAATCTATTTTTTGCCAGTTTATTATGTGCCGTAAATGATGATTCGGCTCATTCGTCGACGTCGTTTCCTCTTTGCCGGCGAAAAAAGAAGAACCGCTCAGAATTGTATGCTTGCGTGTTCGCGATTTGTAAAAATGGGTATGAAACAAAAAATACGATAATGATTAGTGTGAGATGAATGGTTGGCGAAAATATATCCATGTGTTTAACTCTATCATCATGGGAATCTCAATTATTTCGACTGTTATTTTTTGTGTTTCTGTACTTCGGTGAGTCTCGTGAGCGGTCAAGAGAAAAAAAAATCTGTGTCCGATTCAGCATTTAATTAAAACGGATCGCTGGCTCTCTTTCACTCTGCCGTAATAAATTATGTGCACTCTCCGTTCGCATGACGACCTTTTTGTTCTTCGTATCTCGAATCGGCCGACACAAATGCACATGAAAAATTTCCAAATGAGATTTCATTTCGTGCCTACGGATTTTCGTTTCTCTCTGCATCGTTTTCTCTTTTTCTCCCGTATGCTAGGTTTGTATTCGAGCATTTCGTTGTAATTGAAAACGTGTCGCTACAGAATGCATTCGATGTTTAGGCTTTTGTCTTGGTGGCTGCAATTGCATTCGGATTGCACCAATACAAGCGCACGCGTGTATAGCGTGTACGTGAGAGGCATGCTAAAGTTCATTAAATATATATGTTCGTGCTACTCACCGTAGCCGAAACCCGTAGGACTGACGAGAGAAAAAAAGGTCTATTCAACATATATCGCATTTGTTTATACGGTTTGTGCGTGTAGTTGACAACGTGTACATATATTCTCGGTTCACATACACAGCGTATACGTATACGAGCGACATCGTTGTATGGGTGCATTCACATTGACTTCATAATTTATGCGTAAATGCGTGCGTATGTATGTGTGTGTATCTGTGTGTAATTTGAAGCAACAACTAACAACGATTGATGCGAAGAAAAAGCAGCAGCAGCACAACAACAGCAGCTACGTCGACGAAAACCAACTTATAATAAACTAAAAAGCGGCAGCAAATACACGGGAACACAGTTTTTTTTTCTCTTCTCTCTTCGCTCTTCTTTCTGTTTCTCTGTTAAGAGCTATAAACGAAGTGAACATACGAACGAACAAAGCGTCGCGTTGCTCAGAATCAGAGAGAGGGGAGCCTTGCAAACAGTTCCATTACATGTTTTATGGTAGTAACGTATCGGAGTAAATCGAATACAGTACACATTTACTTCGATTTGACGAGTGAGAGAAAAAAAACATTTTTACGCGCGCACAGCGTATAGACCGAATGGGAATCGACAATTTTTAATCGAATATTTTCGATTATTCGACCGAATTGTGTTCAATTTGATTGCAATAGTTGGTGTTTTGTGATACGAATCGAATTTTCGTGTATTTCAACATCAGTGGTGAACATTTCATTGCCAACGGGACAGTCAATCGTGGGCTATACAATCGGACAATAAACCATAAGAACAATAAAAGGTGTGAATTGAAAAGCAAACTTCGTCATTGGTATTCACATCTTCAAGAATATCTATGGAAAAATACCAAAATTCAACACATTTTTCTTAGAATTCGTTCAGTGTTTAGTTATTTCTCTCGGGAAAAGTGTACAGACCATTTCGAGTGGACAGTTTGATTGCCGGTTTGTCAACTGTCCAAAACGAGCGGTGGCATTTAACGCGCACCCAATCTCAACATCATGAACTGAAACTGAGTGTGACATTTTATTATTTTAAAAACAAAATCACCGAATTTCACGACGAACGAGAACGCATTTTTGACACTGGTGTAACGGAATCGATGTTAGGAACGATCAATCATGTATAAGTTACTCGGTGGACTCAAAGATTATTTCAAGTTACAAGAAGTGACAACGGATAATGCTGTATTTCGGCTGCATAATCTATTCACAACGGTGCTATTGCTCACCTGCAGTCTAATCATCACTGCCACACAATATGTTGGTCAGCCAATTTCGTGCATCGTTAACGGTGTACCACCACATGTGGTCAACACATTCTGCTGGATTTCCAGCACATTCACAATGCCTGACGCCTTTCAACGACACGTAAGTCTCATCACTACGGTGATTTTTCGTTGTCCTCCTTCTACTCAACAGATTTTAGATGATAATTTAATGAATGAAAACACCATGAACATCAGCATCCAATTTAATTTACATGTTTTAACCCAATTTACCCTAGCGGAACAATGTGATGACGTCGGTTTACTCTATTGTTCATGCTATGACACGCATTTTATGCAATGCGTTTTGCAACCGATTCAGATCGGCACGGCAAATGCCGTCAGTGCCAGTTATTCATGCAATTTATTGAATTAAATCACACAAAGGCTCAGTACAATTGTTGTCAATGGACCGCGTTCCGGCACTATAATCGATTACACATTTGAATCGCACACAAAACCATGTACTCAAAACTACGTCTAATTTCGGCGATTTGGTTTCCATGTCGTTGAACCCCAGTTGACAACGCATTCGACGGCTAAAGCGTCAAAATCTAAACATGTTTAGTGAATTTAGCGATAGGAAAATGATGAAGAAGTAGGTTGCAGAAGCGCTAAGCCAATATTATGATGCGTAAAATGTAAATAAACGAAAGCGATTTTCGGTAAATATTTGTCATGTCACAGTAGATTCACTGCACAGTGACGACAAACTTGAGTTCATCTTGTCATAACGATGATGTAATCCGTGACAACGTGCTTTGCTCCCTAATTTCAAGCGCTCACGTCTTACAAACACTTCTCTAGAACAATGGGTATTATTAGCTTAAAATTGTTTGTCAATTTTGTTGTTCTTTTTTTCTATCAAAAGAAAGAAAAAAAAACTCACGATTTTGCATTTACATTGAACAGAACAAAAAAACACATGAAAGTTACTTCATTCACCCATTCTCAGATTGTGAGTGTGAGTGTGTGTGTGTGTGTGTTTTTTTGCTTTCTCCGTTGTTCTAAATAATCACGTACAACGTAACATTATAGAAAACAAGACACAAGTGAACTAAGCACAAAACCAGTTTTGGCGGCATGAGCTAGCGTAAGAACGTATCGTTAGTCCACAGTTGCCTGTACACCAAGATATGGGCTTACGTGCACGATTCGACATTTTTACCAAATCACGTTCGAGATTCAACCGTCGAACAGTTCAACAAGTGAACCGAAACTTTTCAACATTTTAACGATCCTTTTTTCTATCGCTTTACTCACTCGAACGAACGTCACTTTTATCGCTCCGACATCAATTAGCCAGAGATGGGTGGGCTTAATTCAAGGGAAAGAATTTAACAAATCGGAAAAAAACCATTCAATACGATCGAAAGGAAATCGAAGGAATGTCTGGAAAAAGTGCTTCTGGTATTTCTCATGTTACTTCAATGAAGATAGTTGAAAATACACTTGAACATTTATCAGTAGACGATATGGTTGTGTTTTAAGTGCCTCTTAAATAGATTCGAAATTCCCATAAAAATTACCAAAACACATTCACATAATTGTGACAACATCCATAACTGTTATGACGATTGTTAAATTTTCTCAGCATACAAAAAGTCATCCATAGCCAATGAGCTCATAAAAAAAAATTATTATTATCGCTACCGAAAAAAGCCCACAGTTTCACAAAAGATGTTTGTTTTGGTAATTATGAAAATGAGACAGTGAAAACCAAACGAAAAACACAAAACAGTAAGAAAAAAAATCTCATTAAAATCGCAAGTAAATTCATTTTTTCCCCATTTCAATTTGTAATGCACGTGGCATGCAATGACATTGCCGAAGCAATCTTAACATGTATATTATGCATGATTGTTGGGAGGATTTTTGTTCACGAAAACCGATGCGAAGAGAATGATCAATTCGATCGAACTCTTGCAGTGACAACAATGGACAGACCTTTGTCATAGTGCACGACATTTAAATGTTGTGTGCGAGCCATTCCAAAGCGTTACAAGGTCAAAACTCAATTCTCAATTCAAAAATGGGGTTCCATTTCAGTCTGAATGTAATTGAGTTGTAACTCACCATTAAATCATACATAGTCCAATCGTTTATCGGAACAATCTGAATAGCAAGAGATTATTGGCATTCGGAATAAAACAAGGTGAATTAACGGATGATGATGACTGTGAAATCGTGTCGACCAACAAACACCATTTGATTTCAATTCAAAATCATATCATGCATTTCCTGCGAAATCCACAAGTCAAACATTGCTTTTCACGAATCGTGTTCGATTTACATGCTTCAATTAGCATTGCTGCTTTGTGGTTTTTCGGAACAGATTTAAACAAACTCATGAGATATTATCGAGTACACACTTCCGAAGACCCATTGAACTACTTCATACGTCGTTACTAATCACTTTTTAATGAAAATCCACAAATGAATGGTGCACCTTCGGTTTACAGACCAATTTCGTGCTAATTTTCGTCAATACAATGACATTTTATGTTGACTACGGCAAACCGAAATTGGTAGGTTTTCTTATAAATTTGAGCAAAAATTTCCGTTTTTTTCCCAAAAGATCATTAAGATCAACAATACCGCTGGTTTGGATACTTGAAGAGTTGAAAATAAAACTGTGGTACTTTTTGGAAGCGAAGAAACTCGCAAAATACCATTTACATGGAAATCAAAATGAACGTCTTCGTTGCCTAGACACAAGTCGGCGAACAAGTTGCTGCAATTTCGATGGGTGACGAGCATAGAAATTCCATGCATTTTGCTAGGCATTTACTCATTTAAAGCCAATTATTCAATTTATCTGATTCTCTAACTGAATCGTTTATTTGTTACCACTTGAATGTTATTTTCTCATTTCAAATTGAGACCAACTGATCGTTAAATTGAATGCTTCAACAAGAACTCAGACACACACTGTTTTGCGGTGTACTTTCCTTCTGTTCCAGCAGCACTGGTTGAAAAGTTCAAAAGCGAAACGAAGTTGAGCGCAAAAACGCTTCTCGTTGGGTGTCGAGTAAAAGCGGTCGAAACGGAGATTGTTTGATGATATACTGATGTTGGGAAAAAAAAGGTAATTTTAAAGCCTTGAATGCATCAACGCGAAAAAACAACGAGCGCAATTTAATTCATTCTTGACTAGCGTAAGTAAAAAAAGCACGACTCGAGCGATATTAATTGATTGATAAAGTACTTACGTAATTTCATTCATCAGCGTCGCAGTACGCGTAAAGTTTGCATGGCTGCGCTCAAATCGCACTGTATTTATTCATCTTGATTGTAGCAAAAGAGGAAAATAAAATCGGTGCTGCCTGTTTCCCTAGTTTCCAAGCAAAAGGCTGCATAAAGATAATTTTTCTTCTCTTACACTGTACAACGTGTAATTAAATGATACTAAATCAAAAAAAGAAAAAAAGTCTGAAATTTTTTTCTTCCATAAAGCGAATGATATGTTTTCTCTTTTTGGAAGTAAATGTTTGTGGTGCCGCTGGCGAAATGAAGCATATTTTTCGTGTTTCAATGTTTAATTCATTTTTTTCTCTGTCTTTCCATTTTCGGTTGGTCGTTGCAGTTGAAAGTTGGCGTGTCTGTGGCTCATCCGGGTATTGCGAACGACTTCAACGACGAAGACGCGAAAAAATATTACACATACTATCAATGGGTGTGTTTCGTGCTATTCTTCCAGGTAAGTGATTCATTTGAATTCAACCATTTCGGTGGAAATATTTCGTTTATAATTTTAGTGAGCATAAGATGTTTGAAGCTGTGAAAAGAAATAAAAACGAATACTTGGAGTTGTTACTTTTAAAATGTAATACAAGATACAGTATTCAACAGAAAAAAAACACTCAATTCACTCTCTTTATAAAGAGAGAAAAAAATCAGCTGAATATGTTTACAGAGTCAAGGTTCTGCTTGATCGTTTGTTCATCACGAATGAGATTCAAGGAAAAAGAATCTAGTTTCTATTTTCGATAGAAAATCCGATTTAATTGTATGACCGTATTAAATTCCCATATTAAATATATCCATCTGTCTGTCAGTCCAGTGCATTCGATGAGCTGGCATTTTCCCCGTTAAAATAGACTAAGCAAGACCTAGTTTTAACATGATTCTTACAAGACGCCCTATATACATAGCACGCGTGGCCACAACTCCAGTCACTGCTCACATTCGATCGCATCGCATTACATTTACGCGAACCAAATCAAAATCCAGTGAAATTCTACACACAATTGTGAGAGAATAGAGAGAAGCGCAAAAAAAAACATCAGGAACATGACTGCGTCAGCAGCAGCTGCAGATTCACGTGAGAGTATGGCACAAATGCACCAAATGCCATGTGAACTGGCGTTGAAATGTGATGCATGTTGATTATTTTCCATGAATGGGTTGATTGAAGATGAAGCCCAACCAAACAACAAGGAACACTTTCGATTGTTTTGTTTGCTCGCTCGCTCACTCCCTCGGTCTCTCATTCTCTCCCACATCCACGTCTTTTGCCATTTGAAAAGGGAAAACGAATCACGTAATTGAATCTGGTAAAAATAGCTTGTTGAGATATTTTTACACGGAACATGTAATGTTTATTGTTTTTTCGTATGTGCCGCAGCCGGTCTTACGCATGCGCGTGATAACAACGAGGCAGTTCAAAAGTTATCATCAACTTGTTTGCGGAACAACAGATAGAGCTAGAGTATTTACTAGAGCGCCTCTAATCTTTTCCACCGATAAAAAATAATCAAAAATATTTATGCTGTTAGGTCAATAAACGCGAAACGCAACACATGACGTCATTTTTTGCTACCTCAATTTGATTTTTTAAATTAAAAATAAAGATAAAATTAAGATTTTTTAAATTTATCACTGGAGTGATAAATCCACCTGAACAAGTCATAGAACTTGTTGTGTATTATGTGTTCATTTTGTTTCAATTGTGATTAGACAAAGGCCCCATAATGCACTTTGCCTGTTCATTAAACCATTTGGATGTCTGTTTGTGTGTGCGTACGAAATGAATATTTTATACGTATGTAAATCTGTAATCTAGACAATGAATCATTTTGTCATTCCAGCAGAAGTGTCCACAAGTTGTTGTGTGTTTCATTGCAACATTCATTTGCAAATGAATGGAAAAAACGTGTCATTTTCGTTGAACTATGCCTAATGACAAATTATAGGCCGTGCATACAAATTATTCGTATTTCCTCCAGTAAATAGTAATCAAAGCCAAAGCAGAAGTATACACAAGCACATTGTGTGCTGCATTGTTCTAAAATGCCGATAGTGTCCACGTACAACGTGGTTAAACCATAAAATACCAAACATATTCACATTGACATCGTGAACAAATGAACGGAGTTTTGTTTCTCTCGCAGGTGACTTTGGACACGATTCAATTAATTGAACGAGAGAAAATCCAAAAATGATACATAAAATCTAACTCCGATCTGTTCTAAATAAAACTAGTTATGCTTTGATTTGAAATGCACTCGGCTTTTCATCTGTCCAGTACAAAGTTGATAGTATGCCATAGACTGTGAGATTTTCAGCTCATTAAGCACTATTATGTCAGCATGCCACCTGTTTTTCAATACACACAGTCGTCGTCGATTCATGACACAGCTATTTACTGTAATTGTCGATGTAAGCATTTGAGTTTGCACTTTATGACGATCGATGTCAGTGGTAGGCGTACTAGGCCCGTTACTCGTTATTTGTACAACGATTCAATGTTGACATTTTTCAAACTGAAAATTAACATTTTTTTTCTTATCCATTTTTGTTTTGTATTTGCAGGCGATCGCGTGTTATACACCGAAATTTCTTTGGGATGCATTTGAAGGCGGCTTACTTCGGATGATTGTGATGGGACTGAATCTCGGCATTTGTCGCGAAGAAGAGAAACAAGCGAAAAAAGATGTCATCCTCAGCTATCTAACCTCTCATTTAAAGGTAAACAATTTTGTTTCATTCAAACACGATATACTTGTTGATTCTAAAGGGGAGACGCAATCGCAGAAGCTTTAAACAAAAAGCAGAAAATGAACATCGAGAGGGAAAAAGAGAGAAGAAGAGAAAAAAGCGAATGAAACCAACCACAAAAACTGTCAAGTCGAGTGGCATTTTCTTGCATGCGGTTAATCGGTTATATCATAAATCCCAATTTGTTCTCAATTTTTTTGCCGTCGATGGCAGGTACACAGATTCAGATTAACGTGCACGTAAAACGCATTTCGCGTATATCAACACAGACACACACACAAAGAAACAATTGCGCACGATTTGAGAGGCATGCAATTCTCATATTCAATGTAAAGAAGACAAAAAAACGATTATTCGCATTGAAGTGGCTGGCAGATTGTAAATCAATTCGGTAATTAGAGTCGAATACAACTATTTACCATTTGACAACTACCAGCTGCGAGATTTATTCAACTAATTTAATCCAATTTCAAAGGCGTTGGATTTGAAATTGAAGCACTTTGACCTTGTTCTTCGACAATAAATACCAATTTGCCTTCAATTCGGATTAAACAATTTGAGAACCAAAAATGTACGCATTTATTGATCTCAAAGGGATTACCTTGATCGCACACCTTTTTCAACACCCGCAAATTGAAGTAATTATTGACGGCATGTCAGTGGCACGATTGCGGTTGATTCGAATTTCTCGTTTGTGATCGACTATTGAAAGCAGATTAAAGGGACACATTCACACGTAGGTGAAATTCATTGAATATAGATTAAAATAAGCGCAATTAAATGTCTTGATGACACATACGTAACCGGCTAGATAGATGCTGAAAAACCTGTTGTCCATTAAAAAAATATAAATACGAATCATTTGCACATGCATCAAGAGCACACTTACGCCATTTAAGCGGAGAAACTAATGCTTGATTTGACTGCGTCCACATTCAATTACCGTTTTACAAGCGTTACGCAATGTTAAATCGATCGCAACCAGTTTCAATTTTCATTGATCGGCTGCTATCGAAGCAATTGAAGAAACACTAACACCAGACTATATATCTCTCTCTCTCTCTCTCTCTCTCTCTCTCTCTCTCTTTGTGTGTGTGATTGCTGCAATGTCAGTGCATTTATTGATCTTGATTGATTTTAAAAGCAGTATTAATTAAAGTAAATTACAATTTGAACGTAGCAATGAACAAGCGGTCGCTTCGAACAAGCAAAAACAAACACCAACCAATTAATTTTGAGACTTGCTTTTAATAGCATCCATTAAAATGTTTAAATTTATTGATCTTTTTTCTTCAATCATCATAAAATAGCGCCACAAGCTGTATGCCATTCGGTATTGGGGATGCGAACTCTTGTGCCTGGTGAATATCATACTGCAAATGTGGATGATGGATCGATTCTTTGACGGTGAATTCTTGTCCTATGGATGGCGCGTGATGAATCTATCGGATACGCCACAAGAACAACGATACGATCCAATGGTAAGTGATTCATTATTCTAGCCGTTGAATAGATGAAATGCATCTCTAAATGTCTTTTTCAATTCTATTCCAGGTGTACGTATTCCCTCGCATCACAAAGTGTATCTTCCACAAATATGGTGCTTCTGGATCGATACAAAAGCATGACTCGCTCTGTATTCTACCTCTGAATATTGTCAACGAAAAGACCTACATATTCATATGGTTCTGGTACTTTGCGTTGTTGTTCATGTTGATCGGATTGTTGATCTATCGGTGAGTTTCATCGTCACTTTTGAATATCAAATCAAAGCGATTCCAATCTAAAACTGATTTGTTCCGCTTCATTTCTTATTTTTCCGCAGCATTATGATCATCTCGATGACAAGCGTACGTACTAAGATCTTGGCTGCCAGAAACCGACTGCTTCCGCACGAAATGGCTAGGAAAATCTCACAGAAATTAGACATTGGCGATTGGTGGCTTATTTACATGCTGAGCAGGAATTTGGATCCAATCGTCTACAAGGATGTAATGGCACAGTTGCTCGAGCGTCTAGAGATGCGCAGCAATCATCAAAACGATGAAAAATCTTAGGAAATGCACTTAGGAACAAAAAAAAAAGATGAAAACAAATATATGCAACAACAAATTGTCATACACACACATTGAAGCAGCATTGCATGACCGAAAGACGAGATGATCTTCATTCATCATTTTTAGTGTCGAGTTTTTAATTTTTCTTTTAAAAAAATCAAATCAACATTCTGAAATGAGACTGTAATTAAGATTTTACATTGTTTTTCCCTTCGTTTGAAATGAATTGAAACATTCGTTCCAATCGCAATCATCACAATATCATGTAGAAAGAGAGCTGATGCAATACAAGTATTTTCCAATTCACGTCGTGCCAAAATCGAAAAGCCTTTAGAATAAGCATCGGCGATCAATCATCGGAGCGTTTTAGTTCGAACACACACTTCAAATCGAAATACGATTCTTCTTTATTCCGGCTCGTTTGAATACTCAAATTAAATAGATCTGATCATATTTTTTTTACACTAAACGCAAATTCAATCTCACAGAATTCTCCTTTTTTCATACGAAATTCGTTCACTCTTTCAATTTTAACCCGCTTTTTTTTAGAAACGATTCTGTGATTAACGATGTGGAGCAATGTTTTTAAACCGAAACAAAAAATTAAAAGTCGAATTAACGAATGAAGCAAAACTAGCTCATTAACAAGTATTTGATAAACGTACGCAATGTATTTATTTATGAAATCGAAGAAAAAGAACAAATTTCCAAATTGGCTATTTCGAATAGCCGAACACATTTAAATTAAACACAAAACACAAACTTGGAACGAACAAAATATCATTTAGAGCAATAATTTTTATGTATTCTAGATTAAGAAATTTTTGAACAAATTTTCGGTACGCATTTTTTTCTGAATCTGGAAAATCAATTACTATCGATTTTTAATAAATAAAAAGTGAACCGGTCGAATTGTCGATAACTTTTACAGTTATGGGAGAACAGAACAATGGAATACGATCAATTTTATACCTTCATTTGTAGCATTTACGCCCAATATTTATAGGTAAAAACATAAAAGAACAAATTGTGAATTCAATGGCTCAAGGAGTTCACATTTGAATGAAAAAAACATGAAATCAAATCTGAACGTGCTGAAATTTAATGCTATTTTTATAAATAAAAACTGAATTCACTAATGGGAATAAGAAACAGGTTGCTTTCATTTCATTTTTGTTTTTACAGTTTCTGCTGGACGAACAAACGAACGAGTAGATTTTGTTTCGAAAATCTTCTGGAATCTCAAAATAGCACCAATGGAGACGGTTAACTAGTTTTTTACTCAGTTTGCTCGAGCGGAATATCACTTTTCTCGAAAACTTGTTGAATGAATGACATCTATGCGTGAAACTTCATAAACTATTATCTCGTTTGTTCTATGATTTGTAAATTCACTTTATTTAGATAAAGAGGCTGTGATGCAATGGTGCTTTTATTTATATTTCTCCAAAGTTTCAACTACGAAACAAGTGCATCAAAGTGCATACATTATAAGTAAGGTACTACCTATTGATTTTGAAAAGTTCAATTTTTAATTGTTTATCTATATCATGTTCTTTGTATCCTCAATAGGCAGTCGTTTGCCTATCGATTAAATCTTTTGCAATAAAACAAAACTGAAGAATTTAACTCTCGAAATCTGGAAATAGAAAACATGAAATGAGCATATCATGGCAATTGAAAAAGTAGTGTTCTACTTCAAATTCTCACATTTTTGAACATTTCCCGTGTGCGATGAGTACCAGCGAAACCCTGAAGACAAACTTCCTTCTGTGCCATTGCAATGATCATTGGAATGTGTGTTTGAACATCTAATGGCAACATGTACCAGACAATCTCGTAAAAACAATCTCCAAACTGTTCGAATTGTTGAGTCATGAAATCGCCGAAATGACACAATATATAAAGAGTACTAAAAACTGCAATTATAACCAATGCAATGTTTAAAATGTTGGCCATATTCCCAGATGCGATCACCTTTGAGAATATTGCATGAAATTTCTAATACATTTATTAAATATCATTACATAACGAATAATACTTCATTGAATAGTGGGTGTATGAAGTTTTTATCCCTATTTCTTTCAAATTGCCGTATTAAATTGAACAATAACAATTCCGAATGAGGCTGCTGCATGCAATACCGATACAAAGATTAATGCACTAATTGTTTCCAAAAAGCGGTTGACAAACCTGAAACAATGCAAAATTCCACTGTTAAAATGTTAGTGATGTAAAGAACACTGGCAGAAATGGTACTGTTTCTTTCGTCCAATGTTCTTTGAAGATCAGCACTCAACTCCCTTGCTTCCGAATGAAATTGTATTACATCAATGAATTTCTTCTTCAGCTCAATTCTTTCCTTGGTTTTCTTGGGCGCAATTGTCACAATTGGATCGCTATTGAACTTATGCAGGTTCATTTTAAGGTGTAAAACAAAGGCGTTCATAAATGTACAAAATCCAAGGGTCAAAGATATTGTGCAAATGAATGTCTCCGTCACAAAATAAATTGATATAATTTGAATGATAGCATATCCAAAGTATCCTAGTGGTGTTTGCCAGTCAAATGGATAACTATCGAAAAAACAGCAATCGAATAGTTTAAATGCGTACTCAAACGGGGATGTATGGAGTTATATGGAAATAATAAATATGATTTTTTTACAATTATTTCGTATGAACTAATTGTTTTTCATAAGGTGATTGGTTGTGGGTAAATTCGTATTATTTCAATACTCCAATGAAACAGTATTGAGAACGGCTTTCAACCATTTTGTAAATCGATGAGAATCGATTTGAAACAACACTCTAAATGACTAGGCAAGCGAACGAGTTAAATCATTTCTTTATTTTAACCCTTTGACGACCAATGGGACACATATGTCCCATTTTGTTTTTTATCTGTAATAGCTACATTTTTTAACCAATTTTAGTAAAATTGGTTTCGTTTGAAAGAGAATTAATGTAGCTATCAGAAAGTACCATAATATTGGATATTTATTGTAAACGCAATTGGATAGAACACTCTAAAGTCAAAAAATCTTAACTTTTTTTTTTCAACTTTCGCCAAATGCTATATAATTTTAACGGTGGAACTTTTAAAGCTGAAAATTTGGAAAAATGTGCGAAATGTCCATTACTTTCCAAAAATCATCGACTTTATTAAGAAAAAACGTTTTTTCCACTTTTTATTGCGTTGGCGCGATGGGACATATGTGTCCCATTGGTCGGTAAAGGTAAATAAATACCCCGTATTTCCCTGTATTTTGGCCATTATTCGCGAATTTTCAAACACAAAAATTTACAAAAATATCATTAAATTCGTGATTAAATGGGCACAACAAAGCACAATTCAAACCATTTTCGGTTCAAAACAATTCTGAATATTTTAAAAACGAAAAAGATTTTACACGTAGTTCTTATGGGAGACATATTTTTTTCCATACAAAGGTAGTTACCGTTACCGACCAATGGGACACATATGTCCCATCATTTTTTTCATATTTCTAGTTAAAAAAAATTAATTTTTGATAACATTTTTATTATGGTTTTTGGGGTCGCTGAGCACAAATCTGCAATCAGAAATTCCCATCCGTTCAATCTTGGTCGTCAAAGGGTTAAAGAAAAGAAGCAGTCGCCTCAAAATCTTTTCTTTAAAATAAAGAAATGATTTAACTCGTTCGCTTTCCTAGTCATTTAGAGTGTTGTTTCAAATCGATTCTCATCGAGTATTGAAATAATACGAATAATAAATATATGACACTGTTCAGTGTCCACTGAACAGGGCAGACTTACGTCACTGGATAAATTTGTTAAAAAGATTCTTTGGACTGATCTGAAGAACTGTACTTGAAAACTGATATAATAATGGGACCAAGAACAAAAGTTGGCGTCGATATGACAAGCAAAAACTTTACGAGATATCCCGTTAATTTTTCACATAAATTTCCCGCATTTCTGTAGATGTCCTTTGCTATCGGCATTCGGCTCCCTAATTTTACACACGAATACTCAATATTACATTGAAATAAGAATTGGACCATGCATTATTTTAATGGTCCGTTCTATATGGCAAAATAACACATACAATAGAATTTTGCCATATGGAACGGACCATTAAAATAATCCATGAATCGGACTCAACAAAACTAAAACAGTAGTACTCACTTTTTTCAATCATGTCATCAAGGTCAGTAAAGAGTTGAATATAATTCGCGTTTTGCCAAATTAAGCACAAGTAGCACAGAGATATTGCTATTTGACACGATATATAAGCTAACGCTTCATTATACCTTTCAGATGTTCGAGGTGTTTTTATTAAAAACCATAAGATGGTGATAAAATTAACTGAAAACATGCCCGAACAAATGCACTTCGAAGCAAGAGCGAAAATCTCATTTTTGTGAATAGAATCCCGTGTAATCAGTCCAATCAATCTCAAATGAGTTTAAAACAAAGTCAGAGTTTTCATTTTGAAGAACTGTTACATTCCAATAACGGTGATGTTAAAGTAAGTGTAATAGTCGTTTTAGAAATGACCTTTATGACGTGAAAAAATATTCGTATTTACTCAGGGTGGATGATTGTAACACATTACCGGTAATGCTTAATTTTGGCATTATAATTGTAATAGCATTACTTTGGCTCTTTGTTACAATATTAATGTGTTACGGCAAAATGTAAATCTGTAGGTCGGATTGACGTATTTGACCTGAATATCATTATGTAGTTAGTATTAAAAATCGATCCATGTGAGTTTTCGAATGTTGTTATATTGAAAACATTTTCGCTTATTTACTTTTATAAAGTGAGACTTCAATTCTTCTTAGAATATTAACAAAAATGTCATTCATGTGTTACATTTTAAACACATTTTCAAACAGAAAATCAATTTATTGAAACAATTATTTTCTCGATTTCCTTTAAAAATTTGGATATGAATATCTTTTGGTATGATAATACTTGTAAACACCGAAACAATATAGATAAATCTAAAAGTTCTAATAACATAATTACGAACAGCTTTTGAACTATCACTGGCACGACTTTTTTCCGTCTACTATATCCAGTAGTTAACAAATAATTGAGCTCTGATTCACTTTACGACCCTCTACCACCGATTGTTTTTCTTCGTTATTTACGGACGAATTCTCCATAAATCAATACAACGATTTGGACCGTTTTTCCAATTGTTATTATTTCAAGAAGTAATTTTCATTCCCACTGTAGGCACACGTTGCATTTATTGATTTCCTCGCTAAGTTATTCAAACTACATCGAACAAATCCTTCGTGCCAGTCCGTTCGCCAAGAGCGTTCTCAGGATTTCGTTAAGGTAGGGGCAAAACAAGAAATATTTGAAAATCGAGGACATTTTTTAGTTTTTTTCTATTGAAAAACGAAGACATATTTAATTTTTTTAGTATCAAAATTCACTATAAAATTAACTTATTATTAAAAAAGTAATTTTCTCGGGTCTTGAGCAAAACGGGTGAGCACTTCTTCTCGTATATTTTCTGTGTTTTCCTTCACCATTGTTCGATGTACGCTCAACATACATGAACCCAAAATTCGCGGAAAAATTTAATCATCACAATTTATGATAAAGATTTGACAACATACCATTTAGACGGCTGTCCCCCATTGTAGAGCGCAACCAAGTTTTAACACGCCGTAATGTGCTAAATGATCGTTCAATAGTGCATGTTGTCGACGGCTGAGCTAACGATATTTGTAGTGCATGCTTCACAGATGGAAAAAACATTTCAGTTTCTTTTATTATGTCACATAAATCCAAGTTTTTGAGCTGCTCGTTGCTCAAATTTTTTTCCTCCCAAAGTGAACGCCATATCTCGATTTCATTGTAATGCGTTTACCACAGGCTCAAGTATGGCCGAGTACTTTGCAATAATGAAAACGCATAAGACAAATATTGATTTGGTACAGGCAGCATGTAGTTGAAATGCTTTTTTTCTTAATTCAGCATTGCCGTCTGTAGTTAACTTTTCTAACCCAGCAATAATAGTTTCAAAATGATTTTTAAAAAGAGAAATACTTTTGTATTTTTCGGACCATCGTGTTGCGCAAAATGCAGGAATATTCGGGACGTATTTGCGTCGCAGAGTTGACTCTCGGAAGAAGTTTATAACGTCTTTTATTGTGGCAATCGTATTACGTACTTCCGGAATGATATTCAAGTCATTCACAACCAAATTTATATCATGATTCGCACAATGGAAGAAAAGGGCATTTGGGTATTTTTTTCCATAAAAAATCAAATGTGTTTAACAATTTCTTGCATTTTTGTTCAGAAAAGTCCTCGATTTTCCATAAAAAATCAAATTTTTAGGATCGACGATAACCAAAAACGAGGACATTCTTGGCTTTTTAGACGAAGGTACGGGCAACTGCCCGGCTTGCCCCCCCCTGGGAACGCCGTTGCCGTTCGCCATTGATTAAGTGGTGATTTCCAAAATAAATGAATGAAATATTGAAAACAGTTGCGGTACGTAAACATAAAATATAATGAAGGTTCCAACATGTGCTCGCAGTTCTATTTATTAATGAATGTTTTTGTTTACGGATAAATACAAATAATAATGGTACATAGTCTGATAAATGAGACCGAAAATGGTAAATGTGTCCTAAAAAGGCAGTACTTGGAGACTGGATGATATCTATCTCACTAATCAGTTTCCAGATGGGATTTTTTTGTCTTATTTTACGTTTCATATATATATTTGCGCAGCAGAGCTTCTGAAGAAAGCTTCGAGTGGTCAAATTACCCTCTTCTTCAACTCATTGTACTTCATATCGAACAAATATTTGTGTGTTGATGCAAAATGCCTCGCCTCGGATGAACACAAAAGAAAGCTAAAAAAATAGAAAAAAATAATCAAATTGAATTTCGTGGGAACGAAGGTTAAGAATGATTTTTCGAATATTGTATGAACAATTTAAATACTTAAATCACATACTGAAAAACATATATAAATGTAAATGATTGTGTGTACAGAATTTTCCCCAATGTCCGATGCTAAATGAATATAAGCTATTATAGTGGTTATTTATTGAAATCGAATGTTGACCATCCCTACAAGAATTTTGCGATACATTGAGGTTAACGTCGACATGTCGCCTTAAAGCAAAACCTTCCCGCGACATTCCTCATTGCGATAGGTTTTTCAATGTACAGGTTTACGCAAAATCATTAAGCCGACATATCTGCGACATATCGCATTGCGTAAACCCGTAAATTCGAATTGTATCCAACTTCATTACATTGAAAATATAATTTCAAATGGTTTTATTTAAACTTTTCATGTTGCTCATCGTTGCTAATAAGAAATAAAAACTTATTCAAAATAATTATTAAGTAGAATAATCAGCCATTGCAGCCTTTAAAAATACAACATGCTGAATTCGAATGAAGTTGATCACAGTTCATGCATTTTGTGACAACTATTGCGGAAGGTTGGCGATACGTTTGCGTAAACGTTGTCGCAAAATCCTTGTAGGGCATTTACCTGAACTGGATGTGGTGATATTCATTTCGTCATACCACCACGTCCAAATGCCGCCGAAATTGGCTGGATCGCTGCGAGGGTCACCCGGTTTGTTGCGCGTTGGCCTTGCAATTTGTCCATAATAATCCAGCTTTGATTGGAACTTCTTGACCAAATCTGGGAATTTCGATGCTAAATTTGTAGTTTCACACGGATCGCTAAAAATATCGAACAAGCACGGCGATTCAATTGGATTACAGGCCCAAACGGAGTTGTTATTGGGCGGTGTGTATCCGTTGCATGTTACTTTAGCCTTCTGTCGAATTTCAACGATTTCATCGTCACTAATCGTTCCAAAGTTTGTTCCTACCCAATTTCGGAATTGATTCTGCTTTGTGGTCGAGTATTTCAACAGTACTTGTCCTACATCCGATGCTAAAATCGATTCACTATAACTTTCTTCGAAAGTTGAATTCTCTTCGGATCGTCTAATTGGTTCGCTGAGCCAACGATCATAGAGTCCTTCATATGTTGAACCGGTTACCAGTTTGAAATTATCACTAATATATGCCATGTATGGAACTTCCGTATCATGATGGGCAAGAATTTCACGACGTGGACTTGGTAAATTGTATGACAGGGCGTTCCATACATTTTTTCCATCAATGGGCCCGTCAATATCAACTCCGGCTATCTTTGCGAACGTTGGTAGCCAATCCGATATGTGAATCATTTGATTTGAAACACGTTGTCTTCGCTTCAATCGGGGACTCCATATGGCAGCCGCAGATCGAATTGCACCCTCCCATGGAGTATCTTTTTGCTGAAACGACCAATGTCAAACTATTAATTTCAATATAAGAACGAGCACAGATTGTTTTTTGATACTTACACCTTTGAATGGGAAATTGGATCCTGAATTCGAGTGTTCTCCTGGAATGTTTGATAAAAATATATTTTAAAATTGCAACCGACGACATAAGTGATAAAAACTTTGAAGAATTTCGAGGAAAAAGCTAATTTTCTGTTAAATACTTACCCTGAATGGGAGATCCATTGTCCGACATAAACAAAATGATGCTATTATCGAGCATTTTATTATCATCAAGTGCTTTCACAACCTTGCCTACGCTCTGGTCCAATTTTGATACCATTGCAGCGTACACTCTACGCTTTCTGTTTTGAATATAGCTGAATTTATTGATTTCATCCTCTGGTGCTTGCATTGGATCATCTTCGTTTGCAGTGTGAGGTGCTAAATGTGTTAACATCATAAACATTGGTGCACTTCTGTCATGATTTTTTATCGTCTCAATCGCCTGATCGGTGAATAGGTCGGTGGCATATTGCTTAATTGTATCCCAGTGAACGGTTAAGTTTTTGCGCATATCATAACCACTAGCTAGTTGATAATCAGGCTTTGGCGCCTGAAAACAACAATAATATTAATTAACCCGATTTCGTTCTCGTTCGTACATGTTTCATAAGCTGTATGCCCGAATGCGTTTCAAAATCATAATTTATAAAAATGTGCAAAAATGAAATGTTACCATTTTCAAGCTGTGATTGTAGTAATCAATGTAAGGTCCCAGATAACCAAAGTGTGAATCGAAGCCTCGGTACAACGGTGTGTATCGCTTTTCAAAGAAACCTAAATGCCATTTACCAACCAGATATGTTCGATAGCCGCCGATTTTCATGTATTGCGCAATGGTTTTATCTTCAGGGCTAAGACCGTAGGGTGCATCGGATGGTATGACAAAGTGTTGCATTCCTAAATTCGATTCATATTTGCCCGTGAGCAGCGAAGATCGCGATGGTGTGCACATTGGAGCCACGTACATTTGATTCAATTGAATGCCCATGATACCGAGCGCATCGATATTCGGTGTGGGAATTTGATTTGAGCCATGAATTGATGCGTCATTGAAGCCCTTTTGAATCATCAATTATAATTATTCAACTATCTTACGATTTTCAATCGCGATGTTTTTTCAAACTATACTCACCATATCATCAGCCATTATGATAATAATATTAGGTCTGTTTCCTTTTATTCTGTGTGCTCCATTATTCTGCGCCGAACAAACTGCGAACAATAGCGCGAAATTGTAACACACCAATAAATTGGCGTTCAACTTCTTTCGCAAAATCATCTTTACACTTTCTTTGTTTCTTGTCTCCGTATGAAACCTTGGAAGAACAAATAAAGACGTTCTTTATAACGATAAAATATAAATTACTACCGAGAAAAAATATGTTGTCGGAAAAAACCGGAAATATGAATAAAAACCACTGTTGTTGCCAATAGCGTTTGTTTAAATTAAAAACCAGTAAAAAAAACCGGTAGGTTTAATCATGGGTTACACCGATAGCCAAAATTTACGCACAATGAATCGTTGAATAATTCTCCTATTTATTTGAATTAAATATTTCACGTGGTCGAAACATTCAAGAAAAACACCAATCAATTTATATCGTTTGAGAATAGACACATGCACTTGCTATTTTTACTTTATCGGTAATTTACGTAGCATTTTTTTAATAGAATTGTTTTTAAAAAATACACTGCAATTGAAATAAAAATCGGAATCTTGTACTTCTGTCCGACGTGCTTTCTTATTCAGCTCGAAGTCTACTGAGCAATATCAAGATAAGCTGCATTTATTTTAAAATGATGTCGATAAATATACACATATAGAATCAGCCACTTCAAATGAGGTCGAGGGTTTTTAAAGCACGATCACAAATCGCAAATAATATTCGGTTCACCGGTTGAACGAGAGTAAATGCTCATGTTAGGTTAATGACATCTAACGTGAACAAAGAATCATTGGCAATAAACTTAATTACTGTAAATATAACTGCGATAAAATCATTTTTATCACAAACTACGGTTCTAAAACCAGATGTACTGCAATTTGCACAAATAAATTTGGCAGAAATTAGATATGTCGCCAAATATTGACACTTGCCAAATAACGATCTTCGCCTCGACACGCTTTCGTTGATTCTAATACCGACAAAACGCACAGTTGGCATTCACGAGCTGTACACCTTCTACGTAGAACTATTTTTTTAAATTGTTATTTGACTTTGTCTACTTGTTCTTTGTTTGTCAACACACAGATTATGACTGGCTTGTGATCGAATAAGTTCAGCTTTAAAAAAAATACAGATATATTTCCGTAGACCAGTCTTTCGGCCAGTCTGATAATCTATTCACATTCCATTGGTCACACTTGGTCCATTGGACAAAACAAATTGCCAGGCGCCTGGATTTTTATTCAATTTAAATTGGTTTTTTTACAGTTTGAATTCCATTTTTTTGTACTTTGACACTCCAACACACCAGATAAACATATGTTGAACGACGTTGCGCACTCTGCATGACTTAACATTGACATTCATTTTTTTGCATGTTGTTGTGCGGTTTCACTTTCGATCGCAGCTTCGATCATTAGACAGCAAAGAGTGCAAAAACAGGTGTTTCATTTATTTCAATCACACCAGTAATAATGATTTGATGAAATTCGTACCGAAATCACAAACCATTAACAAAAACAAAAACAAATTTTCGACGGTGTTGAACAGATAAAAAATTCACCTCAATTAAGATGTGTGTTACCATTCAGTCCGTGTCAAACTCCAGGAATAAAATTAATTTTATGATCATTTACGTATTGTATTAAATTACCGCTTCCTCTTAAAAGATTGAGTCTAAATCACATTGAAATAGCAGCACGGTCAACTTATCGCTACAGCGTTTCATTCGAAACTGATTCCAGTGTTTGTGGTCTGTCATTTCTTTCCTTATGAATGTTTGGCGTGCGCCATATCGCTCAAGGTCACGTCCACTTGTTTATTTTGTGCGAATTGATAAATACATAAGCCAGGCAAAAACTAGATTAGGCAGAGGAATATGAGTAAAAGAAATATGTTTGCTTTATGTAAATTCAATAGTGATATTTGTACGGAACTGAGAAGCGATAACATTGGCACGATCCACATCAATTGATGCATACAACTTTGATGTGTCGTGGTTTTTAAAAAAAGCAATTATCTTGAACTTTAGGCGCCAAAAATGCAAATTTTCGGCAAAATCATGGATCACGAATGGAATGAACTTTTATTCATAAACTGCGTACGCTGCATTCCAAATGAATTTGCTATTTCCAAAATATTTTCAACAATTGAATCGTGTTTCGTACTGTTTTCGACCTAACTATCGGCGAATTGTCTTGAATCACTGTTTTTGTGTATCTGTTTTGTTGTATCTGCTTGTCATAAGATATAATTGAATCAAAAATAATAAGTTTCAATTCATGTACAACAAACGTTAACTCCGCGAGTCGTTGGCCGATATACGGGTCGCATTGTTGTTATTCGCACACATTAATCTTTCGGTCAAACCAAGAAACACGGTTCTCATTTGATTTGTCGGTAAAGTCAGTTTGCATTTGTTCATTACGTTACGTCTTACAACTTATTATTTACGTTGAATTGAATCACCTGAATCACATGCAAACAAAGCAAACGGAATCACTGACCAGACGCACAAGATTAAGATAGATCTATCTGTCCAAAATGAGTCACATGACACTCTCTCATTAAATCTATCGTTATCATTATTGCTGTTGTGTTGATTGTGGTGGCTGATGTACGATTATAATACATAGTTACATAAAAATATGATAGGGCCGTTAAAACAGTCATTGGTCGAAATGTGAATATGCTATTGGCTTGAATGAACGTATGAAACAATTAAAATTGCCCTTAATTTTATCAAGTTGCTTTGAAATTACTTTGAAATTTGCCATTACTCTACTCGACACATTCACCTTGGCCTAGAATTCCGAAAAATATGATAGAAAATATATAGGGGTCTGGCTTTAAACACACTTTTTTTTATTATCTTTTATGCTCAAGAATGAAGAGGAATTTCGTAGGATATACGTGAAATTTAGGAGAAATTGCAAACTTAATGATCATATCTTCATACGACGATAACAGCAAAACGTGCGCATTTCAAAATTTCTCTATTCAAAATGTGCAAATAAACGCTGTTTGTAATAATTAGAAATAAAATGGAACAAAATCGTTACCAAGAAGTTATATTTGAAATCGATAACAATGCTAAGTTTGCAAACAATAAAAAATCGTTTCCAATTTAAATGGTAATGGAGACGCCTTATGGTAAATATATGACTAAACTCATATACCAACTATCACTCAATTGAATGGAATTCGTTCACAGTATATGTTAACATAGGCAATTGTCGATGCACGACATCTATGTGTCGCTCTTTCAAACGGTCATCATTTCCAACGAACTTATGAATGAACAGGAAAAACCATGGCTAATTTATAAACTTGATTCGATTTCTTTGGAATTCTGCTGTCGCTTAGTAATGCGAAGGATTTTCCGTTTGTTGCGAAATTCATTAGAGAAAACGCTATTTTCGTAACTTCCTATTGCTTTTAAGTTTTCATAGAACAATCGCCATTGGTTCAAATTTTGAACGTCATTCCGAAGTAATAAATTTAATATGCTAAAAATGTGTTTGTCTCCTTTTTTGTTGTGTCTTCGTTGCTTTTCACTGTTTTCATTTCATAATGAAATTAAATATGCTCTGGACGAATAAGATGAATTCCAATTCATGAATGAGCTCACGAGCTCAAGTAATTGCAATGTTCCGGCGTCTGGAATATTGTATCGAAAATGGAATGTTTTTCGAGTTCATATTTGGAATTTTCTAGATTGATCGCTAAATGATCCGACATGGTTGGGCATTTTTTCCCCTTTAAAGCTTATCATGCATCTCAATCAAGTTTCTTTATTTTTCTCTCTGTTCTGCTTTTTCGCTCGCGCACTCGTTCAGTATATCTCTTTCCACATCATCGTGCATTTCCTTATTATGAACGCAAGCAATTGGCCGAGAAGAACGTGTAAATGGTGAAAAATCAGTGAAACTTGGCGCAAAGAAAGAAAAGAGAGCCGAGAGTAAAGAGTTTGCAGTGAAGAAAATAAAAACTAACGAGTCAATCGAATGCGTTAAAGGGAAAAACGTTAAATGGGCGACCGGGAAGAAGAAGAAAATGAAGAAAAGAGAAAAGTAGACGAAGCTCGCTCATCAATGCCAAAGCGCTGAAGCAGCAAAAGAAAAGGCGAATCGAAATGGAAGGCACAGCCAGAATAATGGAAAGAAATTAAAAATAATTTTTATTTTTATGTGCACAAAGAGTATTATCAAGTGAAACAGGCAGAGCAGCTGTAGCCAACATACATAAATGGTGTGTGTGTGTGTGTGTGTTAGATTGAACAGCTTCTGATTCAGCTGCATGTCGAGTGCATCAGATAGTATAGCAGCATTGAGTCAAGTAAAAGCAGAAAAACACGAATGGGAAGGAGAGACAAAATCATTTCGGATAAGAATGAATGCCAAAAATGCCGTTACTGTGACGCTGCTGCTGCATGCATTTGGCCCAGATATCGAGATTTTCATGTAATCACAACAATGTTTATTATATTAAGTAGATAGATACATATCTATCAAACTGATGAGCATTTCGATACAGAATTTCTTTTGCCTTCGTTCACTGTCTATTTTTCATTGCGATTGTGTTGGCACCAACATGTTTTCGCTTTGTGCAATTTCTCTGCGTTGGCACAGTGAAATTGATATTTTGTCTGTGCGAATTGTGTTGCAGCGAAAAAACGAGCAAGCGGGCAAGAAAAAAGGCCGAGAGGGCAGAAAAAGTGAAAAGCGGAACTAAAACCGGGCGCTGGTATGCGAGAATGCTATAGTTCCGCAATAACGAGATATGGGTTTGTTGTGCATTGCAAAGAGTTGACATGGCTGTTGTGCTGTGTATCTTTTCCGTCGCGGCGCTTATGACACACATATATTCCCTTCGAACCGATTTTCATTTTCATTTTGGGCTAGAGAGAGAGAAAGAGAGAGAGAGAGAGAGAGAGAGAGAGAGAGAGAGAGAGAGAGAGAGCTTCACAGCAAGCCATTGTAAATGTGTCCAACGTTAACAGCAATTTACCAACAAACACAGCGTATATAGAGTAGTAGAGTGTGTTCAAAATAAAGAGTGCCTTGGCTCGACAAATCAACGAGCCAAGTTCATACCCACTCACTGTGCAAACATTTTACATATTTTATAGATGTTTCTGCTCTCAAATCATCATACAATCAGAGCACACACGCACACATGCAGTTCAACCCCGACTGAGCTCTAATGCCATACACTTGATTTGGTTCTCTAACTCGTTCGCTCTCGCTTTCTCTCCCATCCAAAGCCTACTCGTAGCCAATGCAAATAACATCAGTGTTACATTTTAGTGAGAGCGTTGGATGCTTGACATGAAACAAAAACACAATACGGATCAAATGGCTATCGCCTCTCAACGTAAATGATGCGTACATAAATTCGTGGTCATTGAGAAATCATGTTTCATGTTCAGTCGCCGCTCGTCCATTTTATAAAATGGACCAAAACCATTTTGCTGATGATCGCTTGAGAAAATTAAAATGATTAAATGGATGTTAACGGAAGCAAACCGACGGAAGACCATGTGTTGTTTTTAGCCTTTTACCGAAAGATATTGAGATACGAAAAATCACGTGCCATGAAAGCCACCAAGTTTTGCAAGGAAACCGGAGCTTTGAATGTTGCCCATGGCGTAGCCGCCGGACACTTGAAAACAATAAACATGTGTGGGCATGCACAACGCACGCACACACATTAGGCTTGAAAGAATTCAAATTGGAATGCAAAATTTAAACATCATTTTGTCGAATGCACTTCATTGTTTGCATTGGTGAAATCAAGTTGACCACCAAAGTAGGCTATTCGAAAATTGCGGAATGCGTCTCTCAGCAATCTTTCTCTCTATGTCGCTTCCCTTCACTCGATCTCTCTCTCTCTCTCTC